GTTTGTCTTCCTTCTTCTTCTTTTCTCTTCTTCTTCATTTCTTCTTCTTCTTCTTCTTTTCTTCTTTTTTCTTCTTTTTTCTTTTTTTTCTTCAACTTCTTTTTTCTTCAAATTCTTCTTATGTTTCCTCTTCTATTTCTTCTTCCTCTTCTGTTTTCTCTTCCTTCTTCTGTTTTTCTCCTTTTCTTCTTCTTCTTCTTCTTCTTCTTCTTCTTCTTCTTCTTCTTCTTTTTCTCTTCAAATTCTTCCTTTCTTCTTCTTTCTTCTTCCTCTTCTTTTGTTTCCTTCTTCTTTCTTCTTTTCTTCTTCTTCTTCTTTTCTTCTTTTCTCCTTCTTCTTCTTTTGTTTTTTTCTTTTCTTCTTCTTCTTTTCCTTCTTCTGTTTCCTCCTGTTTCTTTTCTTCTTCTTCTTCTTCTTCTTTCTTCTTCTTCCTTCTTCTTCTTTTTTCTTCTTCTTCTTCTTCAATCTTCTTCTTTTCCTTCTTCTTCTTCTTCTTCTTCTTCCTCTTCTGTTTCTTCTTCCACTTCTTCTTTCTTCTTTCTTCTTCTTTCTTCTTTTTTCTTCTTCTTCTTCTTTCTTCTTTTTCTTCTTCTTCTTTTTTTTCTTCTTCTTCTTCTTTCTTTTTCTTCTTTTTCTTCTTTCTTCTTCTTCTTCTTCTTCAAATTCTTCTTCTTTTCCTTCTTCTTCTTCTTCTTCTTCTTCTTCCGCTTCCAAATTCTTCTTATTTTCTTCTTCTTCTTCTTCTTCTTCTTCTTCTTCTTCTTCTTCTTTTCTTCTTCTTCTTCTTCTTCTTTCTTTTTTCTTTTTCATTTCTTCTTCTTTTCTTCTTCTTCTTCTTCTTCTTCTTCTTCTTCTGTTTCCCTTTTTAATTCTTCTTCTTCTTCTTCTTCTTCTTTCTTCTTCTTCTTTAAATTTCTTCTTCTGTTTCTTCTAATTCTTCTTCTTTCTTCTTCTTCTTCTTCTTCTTCTTCTTCTTCTTCTTTTCTTCTTCTTTTTCTTCTTCTTCTTTTCTTTCTTTTCAAATTTTCTTCTTTTCTTTTTCTTCTGTTTCTTTAAATCTCTTCTTCTTCTTCTTCTGTTCTTCTTTCTTCTTCTTCTTTCTTCTTCTTCTTCTTCCTCTTTTTTTCTTCCTTCTTCTTCTTCTTCAACTTCTGCTTCCGCTTCAAATTCTTATGTTTCCTCTTCTATTTCTTCTTCCTCTTCTGTTTCTCTTTCTTCTTCTGTTTCCTCTTTTTCTTCTGTTTCTTACTTTTCTTCTTTTTTCTTTTTCTTCTTCTTCTTTTGTTCCTTTTCTCTTTCATTTCTTCTTCTATTTCTACTTAATCTTCTGTTTCCACTTTTAATTCTTCTTCGTCTTCTTCTTTTTCCTCCTCCTCTTCCTCCCCTTCTTCTTCTCCTTCTTGTTGTTGTTCTTGTTCTTGTTTTCTTCTTCTTCTTCTTCTTCTTCTTCTTCTTCTTCTTCCCTTCTTCTTCTATTCCCGCTTCTTTTTTTTTTCGTTCACCTTCTACTTCTTTTTTCTTTTTTTCTACTTCTGGTTTAACTGCCTCTGCTTCTGTTCCCGCTTTTAATTCTTCTTCTTCTTCTTCTTCTTCTTCTTCTTCTTCTTCTTTAATCTTCTTTTTCTCTTAGACCTTGGGTTAAATTATAGAATTGTTTCCTGCCATTTGTGAGTTTGATCCGTTCATTTGACAGTGCCAAGCTGTCGCGTCGTCATAATCTGTAGAAGAAACGGATAAGTGACACAAAGGTGAATAAATCTGATGTTGTTTATTAACCGATAATCTGATTATTGACTGAATTATCTCCTCTAAGAATGGAAAGGCTTTACTTCTTTTGCCTTCAACGTCTTGTGAGTATCAATTTTCTATGCTCTTTTTCTTCCTTCTGTATCCTAGAAAGTTCAACTATCTTCTTCGGAGGTTAAGTATAAGTGTCTTTTTTGTTCTCATTTTTTCTAAAAAATTTTTCATTGCTGCCTTTTTGGTCCGTAGTATCCTCAGCATCCTTCTGTAGAATCACATTTTTGTTGCTTTAAGTCACTTCTGTGATTGTCTAGCGTTCGCTGCCATATAGAAGGACTGATATTACTTGAGAGTTCATCTATTTTTTCTTCGTTTCTAACTATATTTTTATTCCTGTTACTTAATACTTTGCTTATCTTTTAGAAGGCATATTTCGCTATGCGTCTTCGGATTTCAGTGTTTTCCTTTCCGTCCTCTGTTAAAACATTTTAGTATCTCCATTTGTAATTTGAATGTTGAGTTGTACCTCTTGCTAACAACCGTGCATTCTGTCTTAATACTTAGTCCCTTCTTCTTGCTTTCCCCTCAAAAGGGGTTCTTGTAGTCTCCTTTGAGTATTTGCTATCAGCAATTTGTCATCTGAATATCTTAATCTTTTTAAGATTGTCGCTCCCAATAATGAAACCAGAATCGCTTCACTATCCGGTTGAATAAGTCCGGTAAGAAGACACATCCTTGTCTTGCAACCGTTGTAAAC